CCTTCATGCAACGGATAGTCCAGTCTTTTAAAAAGCACGACTTCAAGACCCATGGTGCTAAAGACGGAGGGGGGAAATAAATCCCTGACGCGCTGGCGAAGAGCATCAATCCTGGTTATGGCTCTCTAAGCCAGCGGTCTATACCAGGGGTCTTCAAAGTTGGCCACTTTAAGACTTGTGGACTTCAACTCCCAGAATTCTCCAGCCAGCCTGGCTGGCTGGAGAATTCTGGGAGTTGAAGTCCACAAGTCTTAAAGTGGCCAACTTTGAAGACCCCTGGTCTATACCAATCGCCACTCCCCCTCCCCTACAAATAAGGCGAGTCAAGTGACGTCACGCCTCCCACGTCTCTCGGACTGACAGGTCCACCTCAAAAAGCCCCCCAAAGCAGCCGAATCCTTCCCACCCCGCCTTCCCCCTCAGGTTCGTCACGTGACCCCCAAACTCGCTTCATCACGAGCCCCGCCTCCTGGAAACCAGGTGCGCCAGACTCCTCGCCCAGCCGCCCCTCCCTCCCCGCCAGCAAGAGCCGAGCGGGGCGTGGCCAGAGAGTCTGAGGAAAGCAGCCTCGGGGTGGAGGGGGGGGGGAAAGCGAGAGAGAGGGGAGACGAAAGCAGCCGAAGATTGCCGAGTGGTTTCGGCAGGTCGCTCTTGGGGAGCCGAGCCGAGCCGAGCCGAGGAGTCGATCGCTTTTCGGGAACTGTTTGAGTTTGAGTTTGGCAGGCGGGGGGGGGCTCCGGAGGCGACATGGGAGCGTGCCTGGGGATCTGCTCTTTGCTGAGCTGCGTGAGTGTCTCGTTTCCCGCGTGGGGAATGGGTGGGTGGGTGGGTGGGGGAAGCCTGACTTTCCCGAGGCTTTTTTTTTGTTTCCCCGACTTGCCGTGGGGGATTGGCCGGGGGGTGGGTGGGGGGGAGGGAAGGGGAAGTGGGGGGGGAATCCGGGACTTGAGACCGACGCCATTCTCGCCCCCTGCCTTCCCCCCCCGACCCCCGTTATTGAGGAACCCGCTTCTTTGGTAATCCACTCCGATCCTGCCCGGGTTTACTGGGAAGCAGGCGAAAAGTTGACTTTCTTGCTTGCTTGGTTTCCCCCGTGGGAACATCGCTCTTTGGCCCCCAATGTTTCCTACTCTCCCCCCCCCACTCCCCACGCACTCTTTCGTTCACGCCCTACTGAGAAAGCTTGCGGGCTACTTTTAAAATATTGTCCATGACTACTTCAGCTTCAACCGCAAAAACACCAGGAGCGCACAATAGATACGAACATAAGGTAAACCGCTCCAAACTCGGTTGCAGCAAATACGACTTCAGTAACCAGAGTGGTCAATGCCTGGAATGCACTACCTGACTTTGGGGGTTTCTTCCCCAAACTCCCCAAACTTTAACCTTAGACTGTCTACCGTTGACCTCACCCCATTCCTAAGAGGTCTGTAAGGGGCGTGCATAAGGGCACCAGCGTGCCTCCCGTCCTTGTCCTAATATTCCTTTTTACTTACTCTTTTCATGTATTCAAATTATGTTTATATCTATAATCTTAGAGGTGTTTGACAAATAAATAAAATAAAATAATAAAATATAATAAAATATGATAAAATAATAAAATATGATAAAAATAATAATAAAATAAAATAAAATATTCAGGTAACCCAAAGGAGGAAGTTCAACAGGTGTGGCTCTTATACAAAGAGCCATTCCCCCGCTTTCCAGCACCGCTTGTCTGTGTTCCGTGGGTGGTAAGAAAAAGACTTGGGAGCTGAGCGATACTTCCTGGTTCCTTCCTTGAGTCTCGGGTTGGGGAAACTCGCAGGTTGTTCCCTCGCGGTTCAGCCGAGAGTTCCCAGTCTCCCCAAGGCTGGTGGACAGCTCCTTAGTTTCTCCTTCTCCTTCTCCTTCTCCTTCTCCTTCTCCTTCTCCTTCTCCTCCTTCTCCTTCTCCTTCTCCTCCTTCTCCTTCCTCCTTCTCCTTCTCCTTCTCCTCCTTCTCCTTCTCCTTCTCCTTCTTTTGGGTGGGGGGAAGGATGGACAAAAGGCTAGGTAGGTTCTCAAACTGGTCTCAACCAGAGTTGGCTTAATTGTAGTTTATTGAACCGAACCACAGTTGTAGGTTTACACATACAATCCTGTTCAACTCTCACCAAACATTTTAGAACTCAGGTGGTCAGATGAGAAGGAAATCTGTTCCTTTAGCTCTGGTTGTAAATAACAAGTATTGAGCGTGTGTCCATTTAGCTCTGGTTGTGATAATAATTAAATAACAATTTAATAACTGCTTAACTAATTCCCACAACTGTGTCAAATAATTTACTAAGACTGTATTACTATTATTATTCTCTTCCTTACTATCTCTTCCCACTTATTTCTATAACCATGTTGCTTGTATCTTTCAATTATATTGTTTTTAATTTGTTTCCTAGTATGATTTGATAGCTTATTAGTAAGCTTGACTACCACTAAGTGTTGTATCTTTTTATTCTTGATGAATGTATTTTATTCTCCTTATGTACACTGAGAGCATATACACCAAAGACAAATTCCTTGTGTGTCCAGTCACACTTGGCCAATAAAGAATTCTATTCTATTCTATTCTAATATTAATATTTCACTGTTTTGGACCGTCTCTTTTGAACCCAAAGATGCCTTTGGATGTCCCATTTTCTCAGTCCTCTTGCAGTGGTTGAGTTTTAAATTTAATGAGCTTCAGGGAAGATGTTACGATGGGCTATCTTGCCACTACAGTGTTATAAATTCCAAGGAGACTGAAAATATTCAATGAATCTTTGAGAAAGTTGGTGTACAAGGAAGTTACACAGTAATCTTTTTCCTTTGGGTCAATAAGAGATGCCTGTGAGCGTTCTATTTTTATGCAGTGAGTCTTTCACAGATGTTTTGTGTTTTACTTCTCTAAAATTGGGACCAACAGACACAGGAAAGCTGCCACTTTTCACATCCTTCTGAAACACCTCCACCCCCACCAATGTATGGTACAAGAATGCTTTAAAAAAAAAAAGCCCTAATAATTGGTGTCTGGGAAATGAAGTTTATGTCAACAGTAATCTTTGCAGTGATGTTGCTGGAAGATTTTTTTGCAGGGTGTTGTCTGTGCCCTGGAAGCTATAACTGAGAGTGGAATTGGGAAGGCGGGTATGAGGCAACACCATGTTACAAGGAGGTGGCTGGTCACACGTAGGGTATGACTTCACAGAAAGTCATCTGGGAGTGAACCAAATTGCAGTCAGTGGGATGGACCTCTGAATAAATGTGCTGTTGGCATTAAACTTTAAAAAGATTTAATTGGCGGATGTTCCAAAGCTTTCAGCAGAAGCCCTTTTAAAGAAAACACAGCTGTTGCCAAGAATCTGACTATTAAAACTTTAATGAGAGAGAATCTCTCTGAGTGGCATTATATGTATATACATATGTGAGCCTGTTGGTGGTTGATTTATTATTACAGTGATAGTTTCAATTGCTTATTAGCAAGATTCATGTTTGTAGATTGTAAAACAGTATTGAGCTTGTGTCCATTTAGTTTTTAAATTTATACACTGCACTTTTTAAAAAAAACAATAAGAGCAGATAGTTTTTTTTAATCACACTTGTTCTTCCAAATCTTTTCTCCATAATAATCTTGTGAGGTAGGCTGGGTTGATAGAAAGTTTCAGTAGTTGAGAGTGGAACCTTTCCTTGAATCCTGTGGGAAGCGAAGAAATTCAAACCTTTCATTCTATGGATCCAGAACGAAGCAATGAAGTAGGAGGGAACTATTTTATGTATGAACTATTAAAATCAATGGAGGGTAAAGTTTGTGAAAAGTTCTTAGGAATATATATATATATATTGTGCCTGCCTTTGAGACAATGTTGATTCCTGGCAACTGCCTGGACAAAAACCCTCCAGTTTTCTTGGCAAGATTTTCAGCAGTAGTTTGCCATTGTCTCCTTCCTAGGGCTGAGAGAAAGACTGCTAGACCAAGATAGATGTTGCGCCTAAAGCAGGACTATAATTCATCTTCTCCTGGTTTCTAGCCTGATGCCTTAACCGCTACACCAAACTCGCGCAGAATATCTGTTAGCATTGGACAATTCAAGAGACAGAAATGTATTGGGCGATTTGAAAGTCTGGTGTGTTGCATAAAAATTGTGATGTGTAATGCGGTTAGTTAGGAAATGTAGGAAACTGTAAAGTTTCTATAAACGGTAACTCTGGACAGGTTATTGCTTGAACAAATCAGGATGTTGTATGTTTCCCTGGGTTAAGAAATACACTAAATTATGAATCAGGCAGTTGCACTGAAAGAGTTTGTAAAAGGAAAGGCAAGAAAAGGATATTGTTACATGCCTATTACTATTTTCTGGACCTGAGTATGGAAACTTCAGGAAAAGAAACACATTGTTCCTAATTCTTGGAACACCAAGACAAAAACAATTTGCTGTTATGTAGCAATGAAGTGGAATGCCACAACCTGGAGAACTTTTGAGAGTCAACTAAAGCATTTTTATCCACACTCTAGACAATGTTAAAAAAAAAAACTTTAAACTTTGGAAAAACAAACTGTATACAAAAATACGAAATAAAACTAATAAAAATAAAAATAAAAGTGAAGCCCCATCTGTGGGATACAAGCAGCACATAAAGCCACACTCCTTCCAGTCCATGGAAAAACCTCTCTTCACGGAACCAGTCCCTGGTGCCTACCCTGTTTTCCCGAAAATAAGACCCAACTGGAAAATAAGTCCTAGCGTGATTTTTTTCAGGATGCTTGTAATATAAGCCCTACCCCCCCAAAATAAGACCCAGTTAAGATTGTCAGCCAGATGGGTGCATTTAGTACTGTATTTCCCCCAAAATAAGACCTAACCAGAAAATAAGGGAGGTGGTGGCTCAGTGGTTAAGATGCTGAGCTTGTCGATCAAAAGATTGGCAGTTCAGCGGTTCAAATTCCTAGTGCTGCATAACAGGGTGAGCTCCTGTTACCTGTCCCAGCTTCTGCCAACCTAGCAGTTCTAAAGCATGTAAAAAATGCAAGTAGAAAAATAGGGACCAACTTTGGTGGGAAGGTAACAGTGTTCCATGCGCCTTTGGCATTTAGTGATGCCAGCCATATGACCACGGAGATGTCTTCGGACAGCACTGGCTCTCTGGCTTTGAAACGGAGATGAGCACCACCCCCTAGAGTCGGGAACGACTAGCACATATGTGCGAGAGGAACCTTTACCTTTAACCAGAAAATAAGCCTTAATGCATCTTTTGGAGTAAAAATTAATATAAGACCAGGTCTTATTTTCGGGAAAACATGGTAATAGATTGGGGGCCACTGGTTTAAACAGAAGTAGAAAAAAAATTGGGGGAAAAAAGCAAATTAAAAGCATCTGAATTCTGGCTGTTTAGGAATACAACAACACAAGGCTTAGTCATGTGGGTCTAGGACACCTCGCCATGGCTGACTTGTCATAGCCCTCTCACCCTGGCCAACTCACCATTGGACAATTCACTCAAGTGGGATAAGTGAATTGCAGCGGGCCTTGTCTTGCATCAGATTTGAACCTTCTCAAGTTGGAAGTTCTTGAGGCTGGGGTGAGCTACAATTCTACTTGTCCGTCTCTTGAGTTATCTCGGGTTGAATTTTCCCGCTGCGAGTTATATTGTGGAAAGTTGTCTGCGGTGAGTTGTTCTTCAGTGAGTTGGCCCCAGCAAGACAACCAGGGTGAGTTAGCCACAGTGAATTGTCCCCATTCTGTGGTCATGTTGTATGGTCCAAGTTGGAATATCTCAGAGGGAAGTGTAAGCGCT